GAGAGAGAGAGAGAGAGAGAGAGAGAGAGAGAGAGAGAGAGAGGGTACTTCCATCGACAGGATGAGCAAAATCGAACGGATCTACCAATAGAACATGGAAATATACCCTGCCAGTAGTAGTGTATATTTCGATGTTCTAGCGGAAGATTCATTTGATTTTGCTCATCCTCTCGATGGAAGTAGCATGATGCCTGTCGCGGGGTTGGAGACTTACATGTTGGCAGGTGTGTTGCTCATCCTATCGATGGAAAACTCTCTCTCTCTCTCTCTCTCCCCCTCTCTCTCTCTCTCGTGCGCGTGTGTCCTCCCTTTCACACCGCTTAACAACAAGAGATGGTGGTTCGTCCTTCTCCCGTTTGCCCTCCTGCTGCTCCTCCTGCTCTTCCTCGTCGTCCTCCTCCCATTGCTCCTCCTGCTCTTCCCCCCTTCCTCCTCCCGCTCCTCCGCACGACGACGACCCTTGCTTCCCGTTCGCGCGACGTCCCCCCGAGCCCGCACTACCACTGCGCTTGCTGCACTTCGCTCTAGCCACCCTTCTGTCTACCCCTGCCTTCCACTCCAGCGTTCCGTTGGCCCCTGCCATTCCTCGCTGCCCTTGGCCCGCTTCGGTTTCCGCTGCACGCGTCGGACTGGGCCTCCGCCCCCTCGACCTCGCATCCACCCTGTGCCCACCCGCATCGCTTTCTGCCCGCCCACGTGGCTTTTCGCCCGCCCGCGTGGCTTTTCGCCCGGTTCGCTTTTCCCTGCCCGCCACGGCCTGGGCCTCGCCACTGTACCGGTTCCCCTACCCGGTTCCACCCCTCCACAAGTTTCCCTTGGGCCCGCGACCGAGCATGTCGGCCAGACCTTTACAACTTTTAGTAGTACAAGTGGACCCGCCGCATCGTGCAGGAGGTCCGAAGGTGGACAGGGAGGGAACAGGCAAGAGCGAGGATTAGGAGGGCGGAGGGGGAAATGCGCGATAGAGGAGAATGTGTGGAGAAGAGGGGAAGTTGTCATGATGAATGGAAAAAAAAGAGGTTTGCATACAATTGCGAAAAGTGTAGAGAGAGGAGGCGGAGTTTATATTTCTGTGTGTTTGCATTTGCCTTCGTTTGTGGAAATGGTGTAGTTATGCTGATGACGATCTTTACTGTTGGAGCTTGCTTGTGGGCGAAGTTGCTAGTATTTTGCTTGCGCATTTTCGGTGCAGAGATGAATGTCTGGCACATGGTCGTTGAACTTCGGTTGTCGATGTTGAAGTCTCATGCGCATGGATGCCGTCGACGGAGAAGTCTTGATGTGGCTGTGGATGAAGTTGTTGCTGATGATGATCTTTATTGGCAGACCTTGCTTGTGGGCGAAGTTGTTGGTGTTGTACTTGCGCATCTTCGGTGCAAAGAGGAAAGTCCGACACATGGTCGTTGAACTCAGGTTGGCGATGTTGAAGTTTGATGCGCGTGGAGGTCGTTGACGGTGAAGTCTTGATGTTGTTCTGGATGAAGTCGTTGTTGTTCTCGCATGGAGGCCGCTGGCGTTGAAGTCGTGATGTTGCTCCGCAAGAAGTTGTCGCTATTGTCGGTGTAGAGAGGAATGTCTGGTGCATGGGTGTCGAAGATGCTGGGTGTTGCAGTGGAGGTGGGTGGAGATGTTAGAGAATGTGGGTGTGTTAGTTGTGAGGTGGTGGCGGTTGCATTTGCAGGTAAGAGACAACCCGTCGAATGATATTAGCTCTGTATGTCGGGAAGGGGGGGAGGGGTTGGTGCATGGCGTGGTGATGAAGGAGAATGAGTT